CAAAGTCTCCTGAGTATAACAGTACCCCCTATGTACAGGTTTTATAATGTTTTTGAAAGTTACAGGGTCAAATATATGGGTCAAATATTTTTACATTGAAAATGGCCAGGTTGGTTATGTTGCCTTTGAGAGCGTATGGTAGCCCAGGAATGAGAATTACCCCCATGATGGCATACCATTTGCAAAAGTAGACAACCCAAGGTATTGCAAATGGGGTATGTCCAGTCTTTTATAGTAACCACTTAGTCACAAACACTGGCCAAAATTTGCATTCAATTTAGTTTTTTACTTTTTTCACACACAAACAAATATGAACGCTAACTTTGGCCAGTGTTTGCGACTAAGTGGCTACTAAAAAAGTCTGGACATACCCCATATTGAATACCCTGGGTTGTCTACTTTAAAAAAAAATATGTACATGTGGGCTGTTATTCAAAGATTTATGACAGATAATAGTGTTACAATGTCACTATTGATAAATTTCATTATATATCATCATATTTTTTTCATTTTTGTTAAATTAAATTACATGAGATTATATAAATAATGGTATGTAAAGAAAGCCCATTTTGTCCTGAAAAAAACAATATATAATTTGTATGGGAACAGTAAATGAGAGAGCCGAAAATTATAGCTAAACACAAACACCACAAAAGTGTAAAAAGATGCCTGGTCGCAAATGTACAACATCGCAAAAACAGGCCAGTCCTTAAGGGGTTAAGAAAGGTTTCATAAATCATAGTGTATCTAAGCACTTTTTAGAAAAACACAATTCAGACCCTAGCACTTTAGAATTTTATGGAATAGAAAAAGTAATCAATCATTGGAGAGGGGGAGACTTAGCTAAAAAATTGAGCCTACAGAAATCAAAATGGATTTTTGAGATGAGGACATTAACCCCTCTAGGGCTCAATATAGATTTTGAGATCAATTGTATTTTATGATTTTTATTCTGTGTTCTCTGTTGTCAGGGTATTTATATCGGCAGACATCTTGTGCTATGATAGAAATTAAAAGTGTATATGCTGAGTCACTTTTGAATAGAGCAGACTCCATTTTGTTATTTTCAAGCTAACAAAAGACACAAGATTTCTATCTGTAAAACTAACCACTTTCCCAGAGCTAAAGGAATGCATAGTATATACAAACCAAGTGATAAGGAGAACGGGGGTTGGACAGACTGTCTAAAATGTTAATGGAATAGATGCATATCTAAACACAGACATTTGTGACAGAGGAGATTAAATAATAAAATTTTACTTTCTATATGTACAAGATCCCATTGTAAGTTATGGGTCAAAACTTAGTTATAACTGTCATATTAGAAATTATAGCAGAATTTGCCAGACACATAGTCTGGACAAAACTTAAGGAAACTGTTTGATCTGACAGAAAACTTAAATTATAGCAACCATATAGATAAACCAAAATGACGTCAAAATAGCCACCAGGAAAAGTTAACTCTTTCCTGGATAAGTATGTTTAGTGGGACAAGACTGCCCTCTATAGACCAAATACTTAAATTGTCAAAAGGAAGGTAACCACACCCCCAGTGTTTCTATTGGGTTATCAACTAATGACGTACAGAGAGTCTGGCCCTTTAAAAGTTAAGACAAAGAGAGGAGAAGGGGAAAGGAAAAAGAGAGAGAGGAATTGGAAGTTTGGGGACTCCAACTCGGACATGCAGAGAAACCCAGGACAACATCTGAGACTAACACTCTACTCTTAAAACGCTAACACTTAGAATTTTACTGACTTTCTAACCAACACCACCTTTCACCATAACTCATGCACCTACAGACATCCAAATAAGTTCCTGAGACTATCTACCAATCGGATGAAATATCTACTCAACTGGTACTGGTTTCATTTAATTAATTAAATCAATTAAAATGTACTAATAGCATTATATGACTGGATAAAGCACGGTCAGATTTCCATATTTAGATATCTTAGTTAACTAAAGAATATATAGTTATAAACATTCCATTCTGCAGGTGGAATTAAGAATAGTTATATATTAATGTGATATTATCACGTGTTAGCATACCGCTGTTTTTATCCAGGTGTATTGATTTGCTCTAAAATAAGATGATATCTTTTAGACAAATTAAAAATCTGCTTATAAAATCTGGTAGTGTAGAATATTGCATATTCTGTATGTTCCTATTCAAATACATATTAAGGTGTGGCTGCCTAATGGGTTAAACAGAACAGATGGTGTTGGCTATTCTGTAATATGAGGTCTCTGGAATTTGCTGTATAAGAGATTTGAGGCGGTCTTTATATAGGGAACTTCCTTATATGGCAGGGTCTAAACTAAACATTATGACGTAATTTGGGGTATATAGAGTCAAGGACAAAGGATAACAGGCTCTCTTCCTGCTACGATCCGTTTGCTCTCCTCTCTGATGTCAAGGCGACTCTCTGTAACATCGTTAAGAATTACCATCTGTTAAGTATATATAACTGTTTCCTGTTGAATGTAGAATAAATACTCATTTTTTATAAAGAACGTCAGATTGCGTATTACTAATTTTCAATAATATAGACATATATTATTGTGGCGAGCATTTGGCCCAAGACGTATATATATCAATCAACTGAAGACAAGAAGAAATATCTATATATATATATATACATACAAGACTTATTCAACTATAGAAAAACACAGCCAGTTATTACAGGTAGGTTCTCTTATTGGATGGTTCCAGGAAATGACTAATGAACTGGTTTAAATGTTATTTTATTTAAAATTACATAAGAATAGATCTTAATTACCTAGGAGATCTAGCCAGCATTGAAAGGGTTATTCAGTGATCTAACTGTTAGCCAGGGTTTTATGGCCCTTCGCTGTGAAAAGCTTTGCTTTCTATGTCTGCGAAAGATAGTCATAAATCGTTTAAGTCTTGACAGAAAATGCTGTTTAGCCATTGAAACGTGTATAGCCATTCCTTTGTATTGCATACCATTTTATACTGGATATTCATTGATTATTGTCATGCATGTTGCATAATATTGTTAATTATTGGTTATTATAAAATAAAATCTATTTTTATAACATTGTGATTTTATTTATATGAAATACTTTTCACTTAACACGATAACGATCTTTGGGATCTGAGAATTGAATTAGTGGGCAATTCTCACTGTTTACTATTATTATCCCATAAATATCCCCACACTCTTTAATACTATCTGGGTTGATGTTTATCACTGATCTTTTTATATATCTATATTCTTAACATAGCAAGCAAATATTTTTTATAATATCTGTTAATATATATATATTTTAATATATTTTGTTATTTTTTTATCTTTTAATGTTTATGCTGCACATATTCTATGGACATTATGGGCATATAGGCCCATTTCCAAAATGGACCCTAAATCCTGATACCACTCCTCTGGGAGGCCCACAAGAGAATGATCGCCGCATTATGATGATACAATAGGAAGTGATGACGGAGAAATACGTCACTGGAAATGACGCGACGGACTGAGAGTCAGGAAAACGTCAGCGGAAGTGACGTGATGGCACCCGGGAACATGACATCGGAAATGACGTAGCGCAAGAGGAGATACACGGACGAATTATCAGTTCTGTATGGTTGGGAGGGCATAGGTTATGGTCATGAACCGGAAAAGGCGCCATATTGGGGATGGCGAACCATATCCGGCCATGACCATATTTGGAAGTGGGAGGGAATTTTACATCACAATTAACACTAGCTGTAATTAAGAAAGTGTCACGTATCCATCCGCTTACAAAAATGTGGTTAATGACTTTTACTGTCCACACAGGAAAAGTTGTGCCGAGCAACAACCAAATCCACAGAAGGGTTAATGCTGAGCAGCAATTATGCAAATGAGATCTGGTAACTGCCTTTGGGGTCAAAGGCCGGTTTCAGCCTATCAGACCTAGAGGAGGGGTGTTTAGTCCCAGTTCTCATCCTGCTCAGTGCCCTGTCGTGGTTTCTCTTGTGGTTGTCCGAGAGCGTGTTATTGATTCTGGTTATTCGACTTTGGCATTGTTTTTGACTTTCCTTTTTTCTGGTATCCCTGACTCCTGGCTTTTCTTTATCGTTGTGTCTCTTACTGTTTCCCTTGACCTTGGCTATTCCTGACTATTCTTTGGTACGTTAGTCCGGCCATTCTAAGGTCCGGTATACGTTACCTATCAGTCCTCTGTGTTACACAGTTCTACGTGCTGGATCATTCTGTAATCCTGACAGAAAGTGCCATATATATGTGTTACATGTTCAGTGTATAGTATACCTGCACCTGAGGAAGACCTTACAGAGGTTGAAACGCGTTGTGCTTTTATTTCTTTCATTTTTTTTTTTTTAATACATTGAAGTTTAATAAATATTCTTAATACCTGTCACCTGGGATCCTGGAATCCTTGTTGCTGACACTACCAAGCTCCTGAGTTCCTGTTGGTGTGACTGTCCAGTGTTTTTTTCTACTTTTCTCCTGGAGTGAGATGAAATGCGCTAAAGGTCCAGAGCCAACTTTTAATAGGCGCAAACAATTGTGAGTTTACAGACTACTCCTACTTATTATATTTCATGTAAATACAGATTACACTGTGTATGTATATCTATTTTATATAGGTTAAAGAATAATTTCATACGAAGAACCATACGAAGAACCTGTGTTATATGTTTATATATTTCATAAGGTAAATTCATTCCTATATATGTGCGCTAAATCACTTTGTTTATATAGATATATATATATATATATATATATATATATATGTATATGTATATATATTTATTTTTGTAGGATTTACAAAATCATCATGAAACCACTGGAACCAGCAGGCATATTCTAATGGTGACTGCTCTATTATCAGGTGATGTGGATCCAGTGGGGGAGCAGCAAGAGAAGTGCACACTGAACATCCGGGTATCCATGCCAGGTACCTACGTTTATTTTACTTCACATGCATGTTATACTTTATTGCTGATTTACCTCACATCCTGCTGACTCAGTCACAAAGTATCCTCCTGCTTTTCTGCTTGTCTCCTCCTTCCTCCTACTGTCCTGCCTGGCTTCTTCTTCCCACCCTCCTGCTGTCCTGCCTTTCTTCTCCTTCCCATCCTCCTGATATCCTCCGTAGCTCCTCTTTCCTTCCTCCTGATATCCTGCCTAACTCCTCCTTCCCATCCTCCTGCTGTCCTGCCTGGCTCCTCCTTCCCCATCCTCCTGCTGTCCTGACTGGCTCCTTCTTCACATCCAACTGCTGGCCTGCCTTGCTCCTCCTTACTATCATTCTTCTGTCCCTCCTGGGTCCTCTTTCTGGATCCTCGTGTTATCCTGACTGGCTCTTCCTTCACATCCACCTGCTTTCCTGCCTTACTCCTCCTTTGCATCCTCCTGCAGTCCTGACTGGCTCCTTCACATCTACTTGCTATCCTTCCTTGCTCCTCCTTCCCATCCTCCTGTTGTCCTGCCTGGCTCCTTTTTCCCCATCCTCCTGCTGTCCTGCCTGGCTCCTTTTTCCCCATCCTCCTGCTATCGTGACTGGTTAAATCCTGACAAATGTCTAAAACCTTTGCCCAGTATTATACATTTCACAGATTTGACATTTCTAATTTTTTATTTTTTTTTAAATATAAATTCTTTATTTTGAGAAATTTTGTTTTATGGGGTGGGGTACAGAAAAGAAAACAAGAGAATTAGAGAAAAAAAGTGGGGGTTAGGAGGGTGTTACCTCAACCCCCATAACCCATCTATATACCTAACCCTCTGAAAACACCTAGGCAAAAGGCAAATACACGTGGCATAGTTTGCTTAATACCAGACCCCCACCCTCCCCCTTTCTTACTTCACGTACCCTCTCCCACCCAGCACAAAACTGGGCAAAGCCAACATAACTCAAAAACTAAACCAAAATGAAACGTATTAAAAAAAATACCCTAACCCACACACCTCTCAACCCTGGATCCCACCCCTAACCCAAGACTTAAAAGTAACAGTAGCTGACAAGAATGCAGAAATGGTTTACTCGCATTTAACACAAGCTGTACCTACTGACAAACAACTGGTATATACGCTTAGACTGTAACTACCATGGAAAGCACATGTATGTTATAAGAAGCCTGTACCACATACTCTAAACCCTTGTTTTCTTTTCTGTACCCCACACCATAAAACAAAATTTCTCAAAATAAAGAATTTATATATAAAAAAAAAAAAAAAAATGTTGAATCTGTGAAATGTATAATACTGGGCGAAGGTTTTAGACATTTGTTTATTACACTTTATTTTAAAAACACCTAAAATATTTCTTATGAAGTTATATATAAGCAGAACTTATAAAGATCTCTGTAGATATGTTTTAAAAAAATAGTCGTTAAAATGCAACATTTAAACATTAGAACTTATTTTCTTGATTGCCTTAAACTTGATGGGAAGGAGGAGCCAGGCAGGACAGCAGGAGGAAAGGAAGGAGGAGCCAGGTAGGACAGCAGGAGGATGGGAAGGAGGAGCCAGTCAGGATAGCAGGAGGATGGGGAAAAAGGAGCCAGGCAGGACAGCAGGAGGATGGGAAAGGAGTAGCCAGACAGGACAGCAGGAGGATGGGAAAGAAGGAGCCAGACAGGAAAGCAGGAGGATGGGAAGGAGGAGCAAGGAAGGATAGCAGGTAGATGTGAAGGAGCCAGTCAGGACTGCAGGAGGATGCAAAGGAGGATTAAGGCAGGAAAGCAGGTGGATGTGAAGGAAGAGCCTCATTGCTCCGCTATCGTACGTCTAGTGGCCAGTGCGAGTTTTGCCACCAGTTTGTTTTGTGCTCTGGTTAGTGGGGCGTGGGGTTTGGATAGGAGCCAGATCCATGGGTCTTTGGGGAGATCTATGGGAATGATTGTGGAGGTTATGTTTATGACCTTGTCCCATAGACATTTCAAATTTTTAATGATATGTACCCTTATTATTTTGTAGTGGAAAGGTTTCAATATCTCTTCCTGTGTCTATTTTTTGAACACACAATGATTTATTGTGTTATGCCACTGCAACATTTAAAATATTGGCATTGATGCATCCGTGTCTCTCAAACAAAAGTGACATTAAACTTATTCCAGGAAACGTGAAAAAATCAAGATGTTATTCTCTTTGACCTATAAGGAACTTCCTTCATATGTTCTCTACATATTGACTCTGGTTTGGCACCAAGTGATTTAATAACTTCTGCATGGGATTGTTTAAAGTTCAGATATAAAATAAACATGCAAGTACGGCAGGAGGGTGATTGAGCTGGCTAAATGTAAATAACATCAATTTACTGAAACTGAGAAAAAATTATAATACCTTTACAAAGTTTTGTATTTATAAATCCTTTTAAAAAATCCTGACTCATCAATGCAGACAACACCCCATTTCTATGTTAAAGCAGAGAGTATCCATGTGTATTAAACGTGGGTTTGGTGAAAAAAAAATTTTAGTTTCAGCCGCACAACTTTTACAACCTTTTTTTCGGAAAATAATGTTCAGGACAGACTGATTTCGTCCATATGCCTCAACAGAATTTCGATAACAAAAATAAAAAGATTCAGAAAATCAATCAGACACACCAAAACTTGAAGGAAAATATTTTGCAATACACTGATAGGAGCATTTTCCATTCATTTGGTTCAAATATTATTTGTTGCTGATTGGCTTAAAATAGTAAGCTGACACTCTAAGCCAATCAGTAGCTCTCCATTCATCAAAAAGGTATATACACTTTTCAAGTCATCTGTATGAGTTAACATGGTGTAACAAGCCCTTAACCATAAGCTATCTGCATTGCTTGTCAGCGATGTGTTCATTATATGTAAATTAACATGTGCTGTAGATGATATGGCCACAATACATTTTAGAATAAATACATTTGTAATAACGGATTAAATTGTTAACCTCTCAATCATAGCATGCAAGTTGGGGTTAACATGGAATTTGCTGTAGAAGAGCGCTCTGCTAAAGACCCCCCCACCCATAATCACTCTGCCAGTGGTATCTATTTTGAATCGCTAATATCCTAATAAGGATACAGCGAATAGTGATTTCTATTAGCAGTCAATCTGTGTTAAATAAATGTTCATTTTTGAAGAAATCTACATTGGAGGAAAACCTGGCATGCTGGGTTGCTTTGTATATATGGGAAAAAAATTGTTTTGATTGTTTACAAATGTGATTTGCACTTGGGAGGACATAGGCATTTCTGAAAAGATGGGGTTTGTGGGACTTTGTCAATAATTGAATTGACAGTAAGAGTGCGAGCAGGGGACAGGAGAAGGTCACCGGCAGTGCGGAGAGACCCAGAAGGATAATACCTGTGAATTAGCAAATAGATGCAACAGGAGCTAAAGTTGTTTAAAGCTTTATAGGTGGGGGGGCGGGGCTTACCAAGCAACCTGACCAGACGCAATTTCTCTAAGCTCCAAAACACAATCCTGCGGATATCAGCAGTACTGAACCCAATCCAAATACCACACCAGCACGACTGGTGCCAGAAGGGCAGGGAGCACCGATCGATGCCTTTCTTTCAACCACCGAAGACGACACGACGGAAATACAAAACTGGGGCTTACCGCACACTGCAAGACCTCGGGAGTTTCCTAGGAGTCATCGCAACAACCAGCGCTGCAACACCCCATAGCCTAGCTCCATCTGGCTCGCCGACCAACATTCCAAGCATGGGCAGGCGCTCCCAAAAACCGCACACCCCAGCGGAGGGCAGAGATATAGGAGCCAACGGCCGGCGCAACCTAAGCCCATTACCACCAATGGACACCCAGACACGGTGCAGAATCCGACGCTACAACAACATGAGCCCGAGAGCCCGCGATACTCTCCAGCATCAGCCGACCACCAAGAAGGACTTAAAACTAATGCTTGCCGAAATCCATAAAATGCTGGCGGCCAACTTGGCCATTATCAAAACAGAAGTAAGGGAAGTGTCGGAGAGGGTCAGAACTAATGAAACCTAATGAAAAGTATTTCTCTCCTGTCACTCCTCCAATACCTCACCCCTCTGTCAATCCTTACACTGACTTTTTGTATCCTATAGGTGTCAATTCAAAATACTAACCCTTACCTATAAAGCTTTTTTTTTTTTTTTTATTCTTTATTTTTGTGTGCAATTCTTAACAAGCAGCTTGCTTAGCCACGATAGCCACAGCAAGAACAATTGATACACATGTATGTGGCATACCAACAAAAGCACAATATTTATACATTTAACAAGCGGTGTCAGGTGTACTATTGTACAGTGTTGTGTGGTATCAGTCTGTCTACGTGCGATAGGAGAGTTGTATTGGCGTTTAAATTCCTAGACCTGATAGTGAGAGTGTTTAAACGTAAGTACCTCATGGGAGTGGAGTGAACAGGTGGAGGCTAAGTGCTTGAGGAGTACTTTGGTTAGTTCACCTGATCGGCTCTCTCCCGGGTGCTTGGTTTTAGTACGTAAAGTACAAAGTGTGTGGGGAAAAAAATAAAAATAAATTACTACCCAAAAGTTTGACAAAGGTTGGTGGTAGAATTCAGTGCATGAAAAGTGTTACAATACCACCATTAAAAATACCCTGGGTTGTCTACTTTTCACAAATATATAGTTTGATGGGGGTAAAACACATTGGCCCAAATAGGATATGGGTGCAAGTTGGCTACATGTCACAATTCCAAGTTGGGAAAACTGATATGCACACCTGCCAAATTTGGCCTTTTAGCCCCCAAACAACCTGTCAAGCCTATGCATGGGTGGTATCACTGTACTCAGGAGATGTTGCTGAACACATATTGGGGTGTTGTTTGGCAGTGACACATAACATGATGTGTTAATTCATGCCTAAAGTACAATGTGTGTGAAAAAAAAAAATAAAACAGAAAAAAAAATTACTACCTAAAAGTTTGACAAATTCTGGTGGTAGAATTAGTGCTTGGAAAGTGTTAAAATACCACCATTTAAAATACCCTAGGGTGTCTACTTTTCAAAAATAAATGGTTTGATGGGGGTAAAATACATTGGCTGGCCTTACAAATGTCCCAAATAGGACATGTGCGCAGGTTGACTACATGTCAAAATTCCAAGTTGAAAAATGGATATGCGCACCTGCCAAATGTGGTCTTTTAGCCCCCAAACAACCCGACAAGCCTATGCATGGGTGGTCTTACTGTACTTGGGAGATGTTGCTGAACACATATTAGTGTGGTTTTTTTTTTTGGCAGCAACACATAGCAGGGTCTTTGAATTTTTACCTGAATTGCAAAGTATGTGGAAAAAAAAAAAACTACCTATGCGAAGTTTGGCAAAGACTGGTGGTAAAATGGCTGCATAGAAAGTTTCAAAATATCCTTAGATTAATTCACTGGGTTGTCTGCTTTAAAAATATATACATGTGGGGTGTTTTCCAGAGATTTATGACAGATAATAGTGTTACAATGTCACTATTGATACATTTTAAAAATGTATGTTTTGAAACTGCAATATTCTACTTGTACTTATAGCCCTATAACTTGCAAAAAAAAG